GAGAGAAGAATGATACACATGCAGGTTTCCTTCTAGAAGTTGCTGGGCCCAGCGCGGAAGTGGACGGTCTCTTGCTGTCTTGAGCAACGCTGCCCAAGCGACCAACGCTTGGGCAGAACCAATGCTGGTCAGAGAAATCATGGCGGTTTTATGTGGCTAGAATATACTGGTGTACTCGTTGTTGAGCTTCTCTTCCTTCAGACCTTCAAAGCAGCTCACTACGACGCTCTTTTGGCTAGAAGCATAACCAGTTTCATACTGAATTGCTTGCTATAACAACGGTGGTTAGAAGCGAATTTGGAGTATGGATAAGCAATGCCTCGAGCGTGCTGCGCACACGTCTTGTTTAACCAACGTGTCCTCTAGGTAACAGGAAAACTACAGATTGCGCGTTGTCTTGCCAACATCCTCGGCAGCATCATCTATGAGCCACGCCGTATTTTTCGGATCATGTGGTCTAGTGGTCGAGTTCGTGTCATTCTTCTTCGCCTCGTTCAATCGAAGTGTGCAACTCGTACGCAGGGGCATCTGTGAAGGCAGTGCAAGCTTTTCGTTGGATTCCATATAATTGTTGTCGACCATCGCCTACAACTATGCTTCAATCTGTCGTAGTACCAGATAGTTGCGGTTTGTTCTGAGCTTAGTTTCGCTGCAGCTATGCAGTGCTCTATGTGCGAAGCATACAGCAATCTATGACAACACTTCACTTGGCAAGCAAGCTGACAGCGCGCTTTCAGTTTGTCGAGAACACACTCTGTCGACATATAAAGAATACCTTCATATGTACTGCTGCCTGGCGGTCCAACCAAAAGTAATTTACCAAATCTTTGGAAGAAGGAGGTTGATTATCTCTAGAAATGGTCGGGTGTTCACCATATCATGTGGTTCTCCAGCACAAATTCCATTGTGTAAGCGGCTCTTCATCAGATACCAGAAGTTTCATAGGTGTGCTAGTAACGAAGGCGGCGATGACACAGTTTTCAAGAAGCTAGCTTAATGAGAGTAGACGCACAGTAATAGCGTCCACGGAAGACATTCTGTTGCAGTCGATTTCAGTGTCAGTGCTCTAGATGTTGGCGGGGACAGGGCACTGTGGCTTACTATAACGGTCTCAACTAGAGATGACTATCACACTCCGTGGATAAATGCGACACAGCCGCACGTTCCAAGTGGGCGTATGGCCCGCTATAACGGTATTTCGAATGACCGCATTGATGAGATGTTAGACAGTTATCAGGGTGTTGCACTCCCATTCAGTGATTCCTGAGTGTCTCAGGTTCAGACCTCCGAATATTGCTCATCTGCAGTGTAGAATAGAGTTTTGCCGTCGACTCAAGAACTTGGACTTTCAAGTCTTAGGCTCTTTATCAATGTGTCTCGAAGAGAAACCTCACTGTCACTCCTGCCTCCATGCCCTCGGGCTTTAACTTGTTCCGCT